TGCCTGGTGGGGATGAAATCGCTCCCATTTGAGGACCATGGTGCTAGAAGATAGCCCCACATTTATTTGAATGGCTTGTTTGATTTCCTGTAAAAGTATATCATGGTAGATTAAATGTTGTTTGAAGTGTTGCTCGCTGTTGGTATTATGAGCGAAGTTGTACTGGTGGAATTTTTCCGTGTGCCTGACACCATGTCCGCCCACTGTCTGTGTATCATCTCATTTAATCCTCATAGCACAGCACTGAGTTAAAACAGTGCTGTGTTAGGAGAAGGTACTAATGAGATGAGGTAGTCTGATAAACCCCTTTTACAGAGGAGAAAATGAGGCTTAGAGGTTATTTTAGCTGAGCTCTCCCTAAGAGCAAACCTGAGACATAGTCTGGAGAGTGAGTGGTTGATTGGGAGGTGATTTCAGGAAGCAGAATAATAGAGAAGGGAGAATGAAACAGGGAAGCAAGAAAAGCTAATAAAGGAGCTGGTGTTGGATTGAGAGCTACCTCAGGGGCCACCAGGGCACTGTGTATCTGAGGAACAGTGAAAGATGCATCTCCGAATTACTTCCTTCTCCCACTCCCTACGGGGATTGAGGGAGAGAAAGCTGGAACGTCTTCTCCAACTCCCATCATCCCCAGGGGCATTAACCCCCTTTCCTTTACTGATAAAAGCAGTGAGCAGTATACCAAAGATCCAGCTTTTGAGGAGCTTATAGTCTCGAGGAGAAAGCAGTAAATTAGTAAGCAACATATCAGGTAGCAATGCATGCTCTGAGGTTGTGTGGCAGGAGTGCTCGTGGAACTGCTTAGATGGGGTGGCCAGGATGAGGGATGAGCTGAGACCCCAATGGCAAGGGGAAGCCAGTCATACAAAGATCTAGGTAAAAGCAGTCTACGCTGAGGGACTGCATGGTGCAAAGGCCCCGAGGCAGGAATGCGTTTTCTTTGAGGAACAATTAGAAGGCTAGTGGGGTGGAAGGCCGCGAGGAAGGAGGTATGTGGTGAAGGCTTGGGTCAAAAGGCTGGGGGGGGACAGTCAGGTCTTGGGTAAGAAACTGATATTTTATTGTGGCTTCTGCTTCCTACACAGAGGGTTTTAAGCAGGGTTCAAGTGATCTACTTATGATTTATTTTATTTTATTTTATTTTATTTTGAGACAGAGTTTCACTCTTGTGGCCCAGGCTCTAGTGCAATGGCAATGATCTTGGCTCACGCAAACTCCGCCTCCCCAGTTCAAGCGGTTCTTCTGCCTCAGCCTCCCACGTAGCTGGGATTACAGGCATATGCCACCATACCCAGATAATTTTGTATTTTTAGTAGAGACAGGGTTTCACCATGTTGGCCAGGCTAGTCTTGAACTCTTGACCTCAGGTGATCCACCCGCCTCAGCCTCCCAGAGTGGTGGGATTTCAGATGTGAGCCACCGTGCCCGGCCAACTTATGATTTTAAAAAGAGCACTCTGGCTACTGTGGAGAAAGGAGTGTGGCAGGGGAAGCACGGAAGACAGGAACCAGTTAGGAAGGAGGCTGTCACAGGCTCCCATGGGGCCAGCTGCATATTTTGTGGGGCCTCTTGTTCAAAAAGCCGGGGGAAGAGTACTATTAAAGGTATTAAACTATAAAATGTTTTGTTTCACAGTCCATCAACTTGTCGTGGTTTTTTTTTTTTTTT